TTCAAAAACACAATATGGCTGCCAGATTCTCAGTAGAGGACAGAGTAGCCCTTCTCCTTCCACATTCAGGTTCTTTCTAATATTTTCTCTTGTTCTCTAAAGCTTTGAGGGTTAGCATTCTTATTAGTAGTTCCGAGAGAAGTTGTCATCAGGTGGAGTCCACTGGCTACTGAGCATTGCTTTTTTAAAAGTTGAGTAAAACTTACTCAGGGAAAAAAATGGAGGATTTCCAGTAATAGATTTTGATGTTTATATTCTTTACTATTTTCTTAAGATTTACTTGGGAAAAAAATGATTTGCAGTCATGAACAAAAGCCCTATTAGACACAATAAAATGAAACTAACTTTGAAAAAGACACGCTTAGGATTATACATGTGTTGATTACTTTTAAATCCTTTTGAAATTGATGTTAGTTTTAAAATTAAGTTAGTTTCAATTTATTTGAATGGGAAAAACTTCCAGTATGTTAGGACTCAACCCTTTCCCTTTTTACAACAATCAGTATTTAGGTGCTCAGTTATAATACACAAGGTAGTTATTATTACATTAAACATTAGATCGTATTCTCACAGTTTCTCAAGGAACAGCCCTGTAGTTTACAAAGTATAGGCAGATGAGAAAAACAGCACTCCCAATTAGCAAATGCTTCTGGTTTCTCAACTTCTGTAAAAGGAGCAGTAGTCCTTAAATGCTCATGTGGACATAGATAGGCAAGGTGGGGTAGTTTTATTTAGATACCATTTCAGGGGACAATAATCCCAGTTTTGAGACTTAGGACCCACCAGAGCTTTTACCAGAGTGAATTGAATTGTCAGATCAGTTTCCTGCAAGTCCATGGTGGTGAAAGTTCCCCACTTATTCACTGAATGACTCACTACTATTTTTGGCTCCCTCCTTTTCAGTCACTCTCAGCTGAGGATGGGTAATCCTGTTGGATTTTCTGCATCTTGTACAATGGGATTATTCAGTCGTTCATACAACACATAAAACCATTCTCCTTCCTCAGGGCATTGACTGTTGCGTGTTCAGGCTCAGCCATTGCTCAGGGGGAGCCTCTTTTTAGTAAGGAGGCTTGTCTGGATAATAGCCTCCTTCCTGTAAGCAGAGAGCTGGGCCTGTTCAGATACGGGGGTCTGTTTTTCTCCCCCGCCGTAAATGACTGGGTTGTCCTTCCATTATAAGACATTTAGGAAAAGAATATACTAAAAACAGTCCTGCAAATATTTAAGAGACTTGTGTTTACCTGTTTTTCCTGTCTTCCCAATCACAAGAAATCTAAAGAACATTTCAGCAATCCATGCCCATCGCTTCGTCTGGAGCGATACATGCAGCTCTTTCCCTGGGTATAGAAAAAAGTTTTCTTGGTCCTATGAAAAATACCCCGTGAACACCTGCTGCTCAGAGAGTTGTAAAGACAACTCTCTTTACAACTACAGGACCTCTACAGCAGTAAATAGCTCAGGAGACAACCTAAGGGCACTTAAAACATTTCGGTCTAAAAGGAATGATTGCCTTTTAGTGGTGAAGTTCATTAGAAAAAGCATTCTGTTTTTTAGTTAAGCAACTACCTAATTTAAAAAAAACATTGGGGAGGAAATAAGAGTATTATTGTTATTATATTGGTTTTGTGATATAGGAAATAATCTGATTTCCTTGAAGTACAACAGTTGACTGCGTTTAACTTTATGCTTTTTCTTTTCCAATATATTTTCCTTGCGCAGAAACCCTTCGCTTATTAAAAACATGCAGACCAGCCACACCTACTGCTCACCTCTCAATGCTGCTTTACAGGTAAGATTAATGAGTGTGGCAAACACACCACATAGGCATGTGTGCCTTCTGTATTCGTTTCAAAATATATTAGCCTTGCTCTAATTAGATATTAAATTTTAATTCCGTTAAACTTTTTTCTTAAGTGCATAAAGCATCATGGTCCCTGGAGGCAAACACATATCAGGCTGCTTCAGCATTAGCCTAGATGCTTAGCATTTTGAATATTGTGGCAAAAAAATTAAAAGTTCACTTATTAATATTTATCAGCAGTATCATAATTTCCATCCTCTTATTTCAGAATTTCACTTGAGGCAAAAATACCACAAGTGTAATTACTCTAGCACAGCTATTAATGTGCTGAATGATAGGATGTGGTGTCACATGACCTTCTATTGTTCGTGGCTTTAAAGGGAACGTCGATCCCTCGTCCACACACATCCACATCCTCCTTTTCTTCTTCAAAGACTCTTCCTTAAATTGTTAAATAACTAACCTTGCTATATACGAAAAGTGAAGAAAAAAAATGTCAGTTTTGTGATGCTGATATGAAGAATACTTTTGAGCAAATATTTAGGTAATCTGTGTTGTGGGTCAGGATTTATATATTTTAAGCAAGTGTTACAACTTTGTATAAGCAGGTAAAAATGAAACAACTGTATAAATTATTTTTACAGGTATCAGTGCTAAGAGAAATGCTTCTCAGCTAACTTTAGACTTTTATCTATTTTTATTTTTGTATTCCTTCTTTATTCATGTATTTTACCACTTAAGTGTTTATTATTATTACTATACCACTTTTAAGTTTTTTTCTTAATTAAGCTTATAATCCACTCAGCAAATTCTTGTTATTAAAGGATTAAAAACATAGTAAATTAAAGACACTGGTTTTTTTTAATAGAAGATCCCCATTAATTATGAGACAGACACAGAGAGACTTTAGTAGCATGTCTCTGGAAAAATGCTTAGGTGAATTAAGATTCTTAAGCTTTATTTGGCCAATATATTAAAAAAAATGAGGCAGTGATGGTGCCTGTTTTGAAATCAGGTCATGAGAATATACCATATTTGGAAAAATTTGGTAGACTTTCACCTTCTAAACCAAAGTAGATTGATTACAAAATAAGTAACTACCTACATCTTCATTTATTACTTTAATTTATGTAGTAACTTCTGAAAAGCAAATGAAAGCATGTGTAAATGAAGCAACTGTAAATACCATTCATTAGGATCTTATTTTCCCCTGAGTCCTGTGGAGTGCAATTTTTAAAGACAAGCTTCATCTGAGGAATAGCATTAAGATTACAAGCACATTTTGCATTCATGAGGCTGAAAGGCAAAAATGAAGAGATCCGGTATTCCTTCAGCTTGTGTTAGCTATGTGACTAATTTCAATTAATATGCTTATCATACTGAACAGTTCATGTTTTTAGTTCTAAAACATGTGTTGTTGTCGTCATCTTCCCCATCCTCTTATATTATGTGATAATATAACATTAATTTCTGTCCTATTACAGTGTCATCACTTTTTAAAAAAATATCCCTACAATGGGAAATAGTGAGCTTTTCATATCAGACTCAGTACACAAAGAAGGATCAAATAAAATCTATACTGCCAGTACAATTCTGTTCAGCATTATATCCTGCTGGCAATTAGCTTTATATTGTAGAATATAAAAGTTAAGGGGAGCAAAATACAGAAAAAGTGGACTCTCTTTGTTTGTCCAGTCATCACTCCCTTTCTCACTGAAATTGAGAAAAGTAAACCACATATATAAACTAGACTTAATTTGAGACTGGGTTCATCCTTGAAGGATATGAAGAAACAGTATATTAGAATGAGCTTATGACCCAATGCCAGATTCTCTCTTTTGTTCGCCTTCATTTGTGGCCTAACACATTTGAAAGAAACCCTAATTTAGTAAGGATAGCTTTTAAGCAGTCTTGTACTACATTTGGTGATTGAACTGTCTGTGGCAAAAGGCAATAAGTGTTTTGTTTGAAGTTACAGACAACAACTATTTGGCTGGTATATCATAGGAAATTAGCATTCATCACCAATTGGTGGCCACTTTGGACTCCAATAATAACAATTACGCCAAGTTTCATTTTAGCATCTCTGTTCAAAGCACTGTTGAAAACACAGCTAATTAAGCAAGCAGGTTCACTTGTTTGATTGGTGGGCAATTCAGTACACAATAACTTTACTTGTAGGTTTAACCAACAGTATCGTCCAAAGCCAGAGAAAATGTCCTTTTCTGATTATTTCCCTTACTTCTTGCCCTATTGGTGAGATAGTGGTCTCCTGTATTAGTTTCCTAAAAGCAAAATTTCTCTGGGAAACCCTCCTTTTGCTTTTCCCCAGATTCTTTTACCAGGAGCAGTTCTAGTAGTGAGCGAAGGGAGTAACAACTGTAGTGATATGGAAGATCAGGAAATGAAACCATGGGGATGAATAGAGATCTCTGATCCTGTTCTTCTGTCCTTAACCGCTTGTATGTTCTGCTTAGGGTGCTGTCCTGAACTACAGTATTCAAGTCTGTAAGCACCTGCATTTTTTCTAGGTAAAACTAACATTTTAGAAAACTCTGTCCTCTTTTTTCTATCTAGAGACAGAAAGCTCCATCCAGACCTTTGGCTTTAGTGATTAATACACATTTTAAAGAAAAGCAGAAACCATCAAAATAATGTTTGTGAGAAGGTCCCTTTTACAGTTGTTTTCTCACCAAATGCATATTGCTTTTTTTCACTCTCTGGTATTTAAGAAGTTGTTTGGATGTGCATGTGAGAAACACCTGGAAGTGAAACTATTAGGAAAAAATTAGTGTAGTGTGGATTTGGGGGGGGGGGGAATCACAGCCTTAGAGGAGGAAAATTATCATTAGAATTTCTAGATTTATAACTTTGAGCCACATCTTGAAATGTCATAAGGATCTGCCTGTTACTGCCTAACTGCTTCTCTCCAGAATTTGCCCCTATGCCCACCAGTGGTTTTGAAAAAGGAAAAAATAGCAGGTGTTTTTCCTGTTTTGGCTTTTACTAAATAAATTACTTTGCTGCAATTGCAAGTTATCTTTGTGGTGAAAAGTGCATGACTCATTATTTCTCACACTACAGGAAGCACAAGTCTTATATTCCCTACTTCATCAAAATTATTTTTCTGAATCTTTCATAAAAATTTAACATAATTAAAATAGCTTCAGGTTGCCCTGGATAAAGACCAAGACTGTGCTTCAAGGAAGGCAGCTAGATGGAGTATAAAGACCTGGGAAAGTTCAGTAAAGCTCCCAGGGATGGAGATGTTCCAATTTGACAGCATCAAAAATTCCAAAGTGCAGGACTAATCTGCAAATGGGTTTTTTTAATGCATGTTTTGTGACATACATCCTGATTACAGTTAGCTGATGACAGGGTTTCATCAGATACACTCATTTTCTTTCAAGTTAAATACCAGAAGACTAAAACCCTATAACTTTACATAGGAAGTTTCTCAAAAATTCCCTGCTCTCTGTATCAGGCTTGCTTTGGGAAGAAACATAATTTAAATGTTCCTCTCCTTTGTTTCTATTATGTGATCATTTTGTTTCTATGAAACAAAGATGAAGCCAGAGAGAGGTTTCCTGTAGGCCATTTCAAGTAACACAGTTTTTCCACAGGGAATATATACTGATTACTTCATTTTGGGACTTCCAGTAGAGGAAGATCTGTCTCCATCTCTCAGAGTGTTGGAAAATAATAAATTCATCTGTCATTCAAAACGTACATAGAAGGTAGTTCACATGTGGGTTGGTGTCTTAAGTGCTGTAAAGCTATGGTCCTCAGACTCCATTCCCCAGCACATTTCTTTATTAATATTATTTCTTTATTATTCAATGTGTATTCTATCTCTCTATTCCAATACCCAAGGTATATTAAAACAATAAAAATGCAGAGTATTAAGCAGAAAAGAATGAATGATTTACAATTGGTCATTAAAATAATTAACAGTTAAAATCTTGGCAAAAGAGATGTTTTTGTGCACTCACTCTCTTTTTCTCTCTACACACACACTTACACACATACTACCATTCCTTCATTTTCTTATTTCTTTAAATTTCACAAAATGATAACCATTAAATAACCACTTTCTTCACTATTGCCTTTTCTCTGCTTTACCTGTTTTCTTACATATTTGTATGTGGGAAAAAGTGAGGCTTGCACGTGCATTTCAGTAATTGCTTTCTTTTTCTCACTCTTATGTGCACCTATATGCACACCCACACAGGAAAATCTTCCTACTATACTGGGAAAAGAAAACTATATGTTTATTGCTGTTTCAGAAGGCAAGTTTATCAAAAACCTACTGGGGTGTGTGTGTGTCGTAAATGCACATGGCTTTCCAGTTGTATTCAGGGAGCTGGCCTGCAGCTAATGCAGAGCTGAGCTCTAGCAGGTCTTTGTTCTTATTCCATCTTAGCAGCAGGTTTCATGGGTTGTCTTGGATCAAACACTTGCTTTCAGTTTGGTTTTGTCAAAGATGATAAATTAGAATAAATGTTCTTTGCCTCACATAATTTTATTTATTTATCTGTTGGCTTGGACTTTCCACCTGAAAAGGATGCTCAGAGTGGCAAAATTGGGGAGAAATTCAAAAGCAGTTTAATGAAGAACACAATTAAAACATAGATAAAATAATACCTAATATATATATATATATATAAACTATATACATCCTTGCATAATACTACATCAAAGAAATGTGTGTCTTGATTCCATTTCTAAAAGCCGAGAGAAGGGGGGTCATGACAATTTCAGAGATTAGCACATGGAAAAAGACTTCTTCATCCCCAACCAACAGGCTTCTACAAATTGAGACTTTTTCAGAAGGGTCTCTGATGCAATCCTTAACATCTGAACAGGCTCATAATGAGAAGGAAGTCCTTCCAACAGCCCACTAGAAGGTGGTTGGAGTTTTAACATTTAAAATCAGCACCTTAAATTAAGTGTGGAAAATAATTAATAACTGGAGCCAGGCTACTGCTACACTTTGCTTCATTTGAAGCTTTTAAAGCTGCTTCAAGATGACCACATTGCAGCCTCAGTTTTGATTTCTCCTCCATTTAAATAATATTTTTGTAAGCCTTTGGATATGAACCGTTATTGTAAGAGTAAAAAATACTGGCCTAAATAAATTAGCATCAACTGTATTCAGAAAGATAGAGCCAGTTTGGTCTAGTGGGTAAGGTACCAGGCCAGAAAGCAGGAGACGGTGAGTTCTAGTCCCACTTTAGGCATGAAAAACCAGCTGGGTGACTTTGGGCCTTTCTCTTAGCCCAACTCACCTCACAGGGTGGTTGTTATGGGGAAAATAGGAGGAGGAAGGAGTATTAGGTATGTTCACTGACTTGAGTTATTTATAAAAATAAGAAAGGTGGGATTAAAAAATCTTTTTAAAAAAATCCCTAGGGTTTGTGTTTGGTTTTAGGTTAGAACGTTATATAAAGGTAACTGCTGTGGTTTTTAACAGGGCTTGAGGTTTGTGCAAACCCTGCTGATTGTGGATTAATAAGTTGCAGTGTTGAAAGGTGTGTTACCATGAATTGCTTTTAAGAATGGCTTGCCTGCTTATCTGCCCTGGACAAAAATGATTTTCTGGTCACAAATGTCAGTATCACCCAGAGCATGAGAGCCTTGTGACATATGTAAGCAAACAACAGATACTGCTGGGGAGAGGAAATTAATGTCTCCCTTAGTTAAGTCTCTTTGCTTGATCTTGGAGCAATGTATCACTAAATGCAAATTCCAGAATAAATGGAGATGATTTGTATCACAACAACACTGTTTGCTGATACAGACACCAGCGTTCATCAAGAAACTTTGGGATTCCAGCTAGAATATAGCTTTGTGAGGCTAAGCCAGTCACACATTAAATACATAGTTTTGTACCTTTCCAGGAGTTTTGCAAATATCAAATATTTATACTTTATTGCAAATAAATTTGATATTTGCAAATTTCAGATATATTTGCTTTATTGCCCATTTTTTTTTCTTTTTGCTGGGGGATCCTCACTGAAAATTGCTATTTACATTAGGAGGAAAGATGGCACTTTCCTCTTGAGGCAAAACCCAGCTTGGTGGAGAAAATTATATCAGGACAGTGTTGCCAGGTAAGTGACTAAATACCTTCATCCTCTTGTTGAAAGTTTAAAACCATGCAAGGCTAAGTTAAGTATTTAATGTATTGTAGTTTGTCTCTAAAATTGCATCTGAATTGTCTCCTGTACAGTATGTGATTGGTTTTGGTGATAACGGTGAAATTACTTTTGAATAAAAATTGGAGATGAGTGATCTTTTAGCTATGCCACTGGTGAAATTAGTAATATGGAAGGTATGATTTTATCCTTTGCATTTAATGAAAAAGAAAATGCAAGTAATGTAACTTGGATGTGGTGGTACATATACAAATATACATTAATTTCAATTCTCCTATCTCGTCTGTTGCTTTTATAGGCTTCAATGGCTGAGAACAGTATATCTCTATACACTACTGCTTCCATGGGAAACCCCACTCTGGGCAGTTTAGCCAATGCAATGCGGGAAGATCTCAATGGTGCAATGGAGCATGCAAACAGTAACGGGAGTGACAGCAGTCCAGGCCGTTCCCCTATGCAAGCAATGTAAGTAGAGAGAGTGTTGTCGCTTCTCCTGTCTCTGCCCTCACCCCACCCCCAGCTGGATTAAAGTTCTGAACTTTAGAAAAGTGTTCAACATTTATCAGCTCATGTATTAAAACAAGAATAAACAGACATTAATTTATATGCTTTTTATACCATCCGCGAGCATCAACACCATTAAAAAATGTCCAATAGTATACATCATGTATAAAATGTAGTAATACAAGCAACCACAGCAGCTACCAAGAAGATGGGATCTTTTCTAGATGATCTCACAGACCATCTAGAATCATATTGGTTATCCAAACTTGCCAGACAAATCTAACTAGCCTTCACCCCGCACCCTGCCCCCACTTATTTGCCATATTGTCCTTTACTCCAAGACCACAGGATAACAATAAAGCATTATACAGTGGTACCTCTACTTACGAACGCCCCTACTTACGAAATTTTCGAGATACAACGAGCTCCGGCCCCAAAAAATTACCTCTACTTACGAACTTGCCTCTACTTACGAACCGGATCCGCGGTCATTTTCCCTGCTGCCACGCGGTCGTGGCTTCCTGTGGGCGAGATCGCGGTAGCAAGGAGATGTTCAGTGAGGCTTATGGTGTGTTTTGTGGCGTTTG